AAATAAATCCAATAAGTACCTAAAATAAAAATCTAAAATACAAAAACCTAAAATTCGGAAATAAAACCTAAAAATACCTAAAAAATCAAGTTACTTTAAAGGGGCTCCAAGGAAAGTGGCAATGATGGGTACACTGACATCATGGAAACTGGCAAATGCCACCAGGACTCCCTTCCCTGCCCACCCTAAGCCCCAGTCAATTTTTAACATTTACCAGCAGTATGACCTAAAACTCTGCCTTTTTCAGCTATCATTTCAGGCGTAGATCATATTCCTGTGTTTTGAGCTGAAATTTTCGTTCATTGTGTCTATGTAATTTTTTTTAAGATTTTTTTTTTATGTGGAACATTTTTTAAAGTCATTATTGGATTTTTACAATATTGCTTCTGTTTTACATTTTGGTTTTTTGGCCATGAGGTATGCAGGATCTCAGCTCCCTGACCAGGGATGGAACCCATGTCCTCTGCAGTGGAAGCAAAGTCTTAACCACTGGACTTCCAGGGAAGTACCTATGCACTTTTTATATTTCAGAGATTCCTCACAGTTTCAGATCCACAAATGCTTCCTATTCTCTAGCGTGATCATGAATTTATTCACCTTTACCTTTTCTTCTATAGTTTCTTGAGATTGGCATGTGCTTAGTCTGTCATCTTAAACCATAACCACAATTCTTAATAATCTGGTCATTAAAATATTCTTTTTCTTAATGGAGCTTTGTTATTCATTCTTGTATACAGTACCCAAATTTAAACAATCATTTTCAAACATTGCATTAACATTTCGGAACATAGCTGCCAGTTATCTATGTTCTCTGATGCGATTTTGTTGGAATTTTAAAGGAAATGCCATTACAACTTCTATTTCATACTCTTGCTGCCTGAACTAAGCAGTCAGTTGTTCTAAAAATGGTATTTGATGTTCAAGTTGTATCAGCTGCTCTTCTAAACCTTTACAAACAACTTCCCAAAGTCGCCTTAACTCCAAATAAGAAAGAGTGTCCTTCTAAAAGTAAATATTGGTGGTCACCTGCAGGTGCAAATTTGAAATGTGCAAATCTCCCAGGTTCTAGTGCTTGTCAAACTCTGGAAACAATGCATTGAGTTTATACGTTGAAACGTCATTGGAATGGGGGAGAGAAGAGAAGAAAAAAGAGACAGGAAAGTGAAGGCCAGAGCAAGGGAAAGACAAAAAGGAATTTGAAAGTTGAACATGGGCTGGGAGACTTAAAGGCGAGAGAGAAAATGTAAATTTAATATTCTTTTTTTTTTTTTTGAGGCTGAATTCCAAATACTGTGTTATATAAAAGATTAAGAATGTGGATGAATCTTCCGTATTTTAAGTGGGAAACAAACTTTACCACAAAACCATTATAAAGAATTGCTTTAAAACATTTCCATAAAATCAAAGTGCCTTTCGAGAGACTCCTAGGCTGAGAGAACTGTGTGTTTAGGACCAAATAAATGCATTTTGGGATTTCAAGCACTTATAAAGACATGTGATTTTACCAAATACATAGAAGCTGGTCTGATGGTTAGACATATTTTTGTATATAACGTAAATAAAAACTCTCTCTGACTTAAAGCAAAATTTCCATGGGGCCTGTATCTTTGGGAACACAAGCTACCACTGTGTTTATATTAAAGTTGAGCTTCCTGATACCCCTTATGATTCCTTTAATATTCTTGTTAATATTACTTTACAATATTGACATTTTGGATTTCAATATCTGAGGTCTTTACACAAAGGGTGTCTGGGGATTTATTATCATTATCTTTCCCTATAACAAGGCAAGCACTGAAATATGTGTTCTCAATGCACATGGAGAACATTAGATGGTGAAATTTTGAACAACGATCCTGGTAAAAAAATCCAGTGTCCACTTATAAGTGCTTCTCGCATAGTTAATGTTCCAAACTAGGGGGGCACCTTCAGGTCATTATTTCCTATATCTATATGTGTTTAGTTTTTAAGTTTTATTGGGATTTAATTCACATACAACAAAATGCACTTATTTTTAGTGTAGCATTAATTTTCACTAATTTAAGCAGCAATAACAACACCCTGCTCAAGATTTCCACCACCCCCCAAAAAGCCCCTTGTATCCCTTTGTAGATAATTATCCAAAACCCCTACCCTACATAACCATTGACTTGATTTCAGTCACTCTAGATTAATTTTTGCCTGTTATAGAATTTCATATGAATGACATCAGTGTCTAAGTTTTTGCTTCTTTTCTTTAGCATAATGCTTTTGAGACTCATCCATTTTCTTACATGTATCAATGGTTTGTTCCTTTTAATTGCTGAGAAGCCATCTGCTGCTTAAATTTACTACGATTTAGCTATTTTACCTGTTGAGGGTTCTGGCTTCTAGTTTGAGGCTATTACAAATAAAGCTGCTATGAACATTTGTGTACAATGCATATCTGTGGACATAGGTTTTCATTTATCTTTGGTGAATTCCTAGAAGTGGAATTGCTGGGTCATATGCTAAGTGTATGTTTAACTTTATAGCAAGGTGCAAACTGTTCTCCATAGCGTTGATACTATGGAGAATGCAGCTGTTTAGTCTCTTTCCTGTTTGCCCATTTTTGTTTCCTGTAACCTTAAAAGAACCTAATTATAGGAATGAGATCATCAGGCAATTTAACCTAACTTGGGACCTGTGCTCTCCTGAATGTAAACCATGCCTCCTCTAACCTGCTGATTCTTCTCCTAGATAAAAAGAAGTAAGACCAACTCTCTGCCTCTAAGATCCCTCCCTTCCGCCATCAAGCAGTCCTGCAGGCAGATCACTCAGAGCCAAGACGAATGAAGAGAGTCAGCCAGTCCATACGCAATGGAGATGTAGGACCCAGAATCCCACCCTGAAGACTCACTGATTCTTCCCCCTTCTTCCCTTTAAAAACTCTCCTAGCCCACAGAACCCTCAGAGTTGGTCTCTGGACATGAGCCCAACATTTCCCCAGCTGGCTGGCTTTTCTGATTAAAGCGCCTTTCCTTTCTACTGATGCTTGCCTCTCAAATTACTGGCTTTTGGAGGTGAGCGGCCAAACCTGAGTTAGGTAGCAATACCATTTCACAGTCCCCAAGTCAATGTATAAGAGTTCAGTTGCTCTGCAGCCCCACCAACACTTGATATGGTCAGTCTTTTTAATTTTTGTCATTGTAGTATTTGTGTAGTGCAGTTCCATTATGGTTTAATTTTAATTTCTAAGACACACACATTTAGCATATTTTCATGGGCTTATTCCATTCATGTATCTTCTTTTGTGAATTGTCTGTTTCAATGTTTTGTTCACTTCAAGGTAATTTGTTAGCATTATCAGAATTCTTCACATAGTGTAGATGTAAAATCTTTGTCAGGTATGTGTATGGCAAAGGTTTTCACCTAGTCTTTGACTTGTCTTTTTGTTTACAAAATGGTGCTTTTAATTTTGATGAATCCAGTTATGAGCTGAATTTCATCCCCACTCCCACCAAAAACAAAAACAAAAATACAATACCTAGTCCCAATGCTTCAGAAATTGACCTTATTTGGAAATTGGGAATTTACAGAGGTAATTAAGATAATGTATTGTTCAGTCACTAAATCATGTCCAACTGTTTGCAAATCCACAGACTTTTCCTTCCGTGGGATTCTCCAAGCAAGAACACTGGATGGAGTAGGTTGCCATTCCCTCTTCCAAGGGATCTTTCCAACCCAAGGATCAAACCCATGTCTCCTGCATTACAGGTGGATTGTTTACTTCTGATCCACCAGGAAAGCCCAATTAAGATTGTATGAGGTCATACAAGAACAACCCCAATCCAGTATGTTTGATGTTCCTATAACAGGGGGAAATCTGACCCAGGAAGATGCACACAGGAAGATGCCAGCAGGGATGGTGATGCACCTACAAGCCGGGAAACACCCAAGATGCCAGAAAAGGACTAGAAGCTCCTAGGAGAGGCATAGACAGACCTCCCCTCCCAGGTCTCAAAAGGGACAACCCTGCCTACACCCTGATCACAGGCATCCCGCCCCCAGAACTACAAGGAAATACATTTCCGTTGTTTAAGCAGTGAGGTCTGCAGTACTTCGTTATGGGAACCACAGAAAAATAATACAAAACACATTTATCATTTTTCTCTTACGCTTAGAGCTTTTAGTGACCTAGCAAGTCCTTGTCTAGTTCAACATTCCCAAGATTTATTCTTAGGTTTTCCTCTAGATTTATATTATTTTTATATCACACACAGGCACACTCCACACATTTTCCTTTTCACTGGGTTTCACGTTTAGATTTTCTAATGCCTGAGAGAGCACTTGTTTCTTATATAATTTATAGAATTTATCATAGTTTCTGTTAACAGGGTAAATACACCAAGTGGCTCTTTGGCCATCTCTTCAAGTTCACCTCGGAGTAAGTTTTATTTCCAAGAGGATAAGATCTGCTGTTCTTCAGGTTTCCTCCCTATTAAGTTGGCGATGACCACAGCTGAAGTCTTAATACTAATCACTGAGTTCCCAGCACAGCAGGCGCAAGAGTACTTAACCCTCCCTATCACCTTTCTACCACTCTGGGTAAATGTTCTGAGAACACTGAGGAGAAGATCTTTTCTCTCCTGGATGTACAAAAACACCAATATTTTTAGTGCACTTTCTAGCTTTCTGGCACTCTACTTCAAGAAAGGACAGGCCACCCTCTGATGCATACATCTCCACCTTGAGATATCAGTGTCTCTGTTGTAAGTTACTCTCATGGTACCTCTGCCCTTCATAGTTGGGAAAACAAAAAGCTTCTAAGGAAGGTCATGAAAGGGCCTGGGGAAATGATTCAGTAAATGTTCTCTATAAATCCTTCAGAATTCCAGTGACAGATGCATGTGATCTGTTTGCTCTTCCATCACGAGGCTACAAATACAGCATTGTTTTCTGACTCCTCAAGTCCTATTGTGCATTAGAAGCAAGGCTTCACTCTACCAACTCTGAAAGCTTCCTCCAGGGAAATGCCTTACCCTTGACTGACAGGTGTCTCCACGTCACCGTTGGCTCTGGTCTGCCGATAGCGAGACACAGCAGGGTCACGCTGCTCCCCTCGTTCACGGTGACATCTGAGGAGATGTTCATGATCTGGGGAGGGACTGGAAAGAGACAGAGGAAAAGAGACACGTATGAGAAAGATTCTCTGCAGAAGAGGAGGGATCATCCTCACACGTATTCAAATAGCATGTTTTGACAATGGATATTCTTTTCAATCATAATTTTAGTTTATTTCAGTTTATTATGCTTGATGCAGCAAGGAATGTGACCATTAACACAACATGTACAGGGCACTCCTGGAAGCAGTTCTATATAAGGTCTGGTCATAGCAGGAGGCAAGGGTGTGTGTGTGTGTGTGTGCGAGGGTGGTGTTCTGGGGAAGCAGTAACTGAAGAGACAGGCATTACTGACGGTGGATGGAAAAGTAGAACCAAAGGGAAAATGCAAAGTGCTTTTAAGAGTTCCTCTTCACCTGCGTGCAACAAGCTCATCACACTTCCCTCTGTACTCGCCCCTTCCCTTTTCCTCTTCTCTTCCTGTCTGAAAACACACATCTCATCTTTCAAGGGACATCAAAGGTCACTTCCCCTTTGCAGTTTTCCCTCACTTCTTCCCAAATCCTGAAAAGAGAATCCCCCACCTCCCCTAGCAAAGGAACTGGATGTGTTGTCCTTACAGTTGATTATTTTACACCTGTCTCACTCTCTTTTATTCTCAGTTTATTTTTTAAAATATATGTAAACACATTTTTAATGGGAGTGTAATTGCTTTGCAATGTTGTGTTACTTTCTGCTCGACAGCAATGTGGATCGGCCATGTGTATATTTCCCCTCCCTCTTGAGTCTCCCTGCCACCCCCTCCCCCATCCCACCCCTCTAGGTCATCACAGAGCTGAGCTCAACTCCCGGTGCTATACATCAGCTTCCCACTGGCTCTCTGCTTTAAACACGGTCGTGCATTCATGTCAATCTTCATCTTCCAATTCATCCAACTCTTTCCTTCTCCACCCCCACCCCACCCATGTCTATGCCTGTCTCTTTACCTAGAGAGTGAGGTGCTGGAAGATAAGGATGGAATGACATCCACCTCTATTCTGCAGCATCTGGCACAAGGTTGATGTGGGCACCTGCTTAATTCCTCTTTGAAAGAAAGATCCAAAAACCCATTGAACAAATCTGAAAACTAAGAGGGGTGGGGCAAAGCTTCTAATGGAGGATTTCTGATACTGAAAGCTTTTTTCTCAATTTTATTTCAGATTCTCAAAATAAAAGAAAGGGCGGCAGAGAGAGGAGCTCCAAGCTTATAGGTATGCTGATTTATTCCAACTGCCAGTTTAATTATAAATTAGAAAACAGGTAGAGTCCTAGGAGATTCCAAACCACCTGGGTCAGTTGGTGGAAGAGAGTTACAGCTGATCCTTGATCCAGAAAACCCTGCAGCCTGGAGTTTTATGCTGCTGAGACCATGGAGGTAAGTCTTTTTCAAGGAGAAGCCATAAGTAACATGGAGAACATTTGCCATCATAAGGGAATCCACGTTAGCAAATAAATAAAATGTACCTGGCTTATAAATCTGCCACATTTTGGATTATTTCTGCATTAGGAATTGGCCTGAAATTTCATTGCACATATTTTACCAAAACACACACTGGGAAAGAATAGTGTACTTTCTAACTAGACTGCACTCTCTTGAGAAAACCATACTACTTGTTTTTCAGTATTTTCCAGCTTGTTAAAAAATCATTCCTGGCTTAGAAATATCAATACTTTTTCCTCCTTTTATAAAGCAACAATTTCAGTGCACTTTCCAGAATATTCTCAGAATAAGGTCCGCTTATCTGGATGGGTTAGGCTGTCTGAAGCTCTCTTTCTCGAGACCCAAGCATCTCACTTATTGTTAAGGTGGACACAGCTGAGGCGGGAGGGTGGGGGGCATAGCTGATCAATGGAGGATGATTTAGGACATTGAAGCTATGATGTCCAGGGATGGTTCGCTCAGTACAGCCCCCAGCTCAGAGCTACTAGTTCCATATGTGTTTGTCTGGTAGTTTAAAAGGTCCTGGGTTAGGAGATATTTGTAAAATTCTACAGATATTTGGGGGATATCCTCTTTTCCCAAGTGCATGGACAGTGTCCCCCAGTAGGAGGGAGCTTCCTGGAGTGGGATCCTGGAGGTTGACCCCAATGTTTCACCAAGCCCACTACACCCTCTGCAGGCCCACACTGTCCTCCATCACTTTCCACAAAGGAGGAAACGCAAGGACAGTGTGAAGGGTGAGGGTTGCCAGCAAGACAGGAAACCCAGGAAGTAAAGTGGGAGAAAGGAAAGCTTTTTCTGTTTTCAATCATGGCATCATTATTAATACATAATATGTAATAGTAGGTATTAGGGCTTCCCAGGTGGCTCAGTGGTAAAGAATCCACCTGTACTGCAGGAGATGTGGGTTTGATCCCTGGGTTGGGAAGATCCCCTGGAGAAGGAAATGGCAACCCACTCCAGTATTCTTGCCTTGGAAATCCCACGGACAGAGGAGCCTGGTGGGCTACAGTCTATGAGGTTGCAAAGAGTCAGACACAACTAAGAAACTAAGCCACTACAATAGTTGGTATTGCTTATTAACATATGATTTGTTTTCAAATAGTTTACATATGCATTATCTCACAACTTTTTCTCAAACTATGAGATAAATAGAACAAATATTCTCACTATTAAAAATGAAGAAATTGAGGCATGGGGAGGGTTAAGCAAATTGCCAAAAATTTTGTGGTCAATAAATGACAGAATTCCTTCCTTTATATTGTGTTGCCTCTTTCTTTAATCTCCTATCAGTGCCCCAAACACAATATTTATATTTGCATTCTCTGTTTCCTCAGCTTTGAAGGTCCTCCCACCGACTCTTTGCTCATGGCGATGTCCACTGTGAGTGAAACCACCTCCTAGTCAGTTGGTTTCCCCAGTGAAGCACCTGCTAGGGAATGTGGGGCCACTCAGTCATCCTGGTCTTACCAGCACCAAGCTAGCCAAGGGAGGTGCTCAACATTTCTCATTTTATTTTACATCTGAATTAAATTTGGCAACACTATTATGGCCCTCCGTTGTTTCCATCATAACATAAAAAAAAAAAGGAACACTTGGAAATGACTTTAAGTGCTTCTACCTATATTGACAAGAGAGCTTTGTTCAATTTTCAAACACGTATCTGTGGCATGTGAGTCTATCTATCATCTATCTATCTATCGTTAGAGATTATGAATATACAGATAAGCACAAAAATATATAACAATCTCACTAGAAATGCTGAAATGACCCAAAGAAAATGGCAGGACCCACATGAGTCTAATTAAAGGATGACAAACAGCTCAGTGTGTTTCCCGTCACATCTGCAGACATTGGGGACCCTCCCTGCGGGTCTTGTGTGCACCTGGTTATCTTCTCATGGGCGGTGGTGGGTCACAATGTGTCCGCACACGACTGGGCAGATGCATCACTGCACGGTGACAAGTACTTCAGATTGTGGTCACTTTAGATGGATGGATGGATGGGTGGATTGATAGTAGATAGATAGATAGATACAGACGTATAGACACATGTACAGATACAGATGTAGATATAAAACATAGATAAAATATCATCTCTCTGTTATATGCATATATATACATATATATATATACATGTATATATATATACACACACACACCTACAGAGAAACAGACAAACACAGTTTTATCAGACTGCTCACCTTCTACACTCAACTTGAATATGAGCTCCTTTATGCTGCTTTCACTGCTTCTTCTGCCCTCCAGGCATTCTTGTTTATATCTTTATCATATCATTTATCTTTACCACTAAGCTCTGTCCATGGACAGAATCTGCTATATTCATCCTTGTGTTCCTATTGTATCACAACAAGCCTGACATGGAGTAGTGTCATTCCCCCAAATGTAGCACATAAGTGTGTAGTTTTTTAAAGTATCTTGAATCTGCCAAGGGTTCTCCACCCTAGACACTTGACATCTGCCCTTTCCCCTCCCTGAAATACTCTCTACCTTATTCTTTTTTCTTTCAGTTATAATGTGTTTTCTTAACATAGATCACAGTTTCCTTTGTGAATCATTATATATGCATCCATGGCATCATTTTCAAAAGCTGTCCAGTCCAAACTCAAAATATTTATCCACCCTCTATTGCTGCCTTTGGTTCATTTTCAACCCAATCTGTGATGCAAATAATCTCAAGCTCTGAGATAAAAAAGCTTTTCTAAAGGAGAACCGTTTCTTTGTGCAAAGGTAATTGGGGACTGAACCCTGGATATACTGGCCCCACCTTACATAAAGGTGATATGACAAGGCTGAAACAGTGTGTGAGAGGCTGTGCACCACAGCTTAGGTTCTGGAGTTGGTAAACTTGTGTAACCGTGGGCTTAACCCCTCTGAGCCCTGGTTCTCCATCTGTATAATGAAGATGATAGAATTGATCTCTCTTAGTTATAAGAACAGAGAAGGAAATGGCAACCCACTCCAGTACTCTTGCCTGGAAAATCCCATGGACGGAGGAGCCTGGTGGGCTGTAGTCCACGGGGTCGCTAAGAGTCAGACACGACTGAAGTGACAGCAGCAGCAGCAGCAGGAGCGGTTATAAGAACTAAGTGTAAACGTGTATAGCATGCTAGTACAGTGTCTGGAAATAAGTAAGAGCTTAATAAATGTTAGCTGCTTTTGTTCATATTTATATGTGGTTGTTAATACTATACATGCCACTTAGAATCTCATAAATAGCTTGGTGGTGGTGATGGTTTAGTCACTAAGTCATACCTGACTCTTTGCGTCCCCATGGACTATAGCTCATCAGGCTCCTTTGTTCATGGCAAGAATACTGGAGAGGGCTGCCAGTCCCTTCTCCAGAAAAATGGCTTACTCTGGGCCTAACTACTCATTCTCTCAATCTCGATTCCTTCCATTTTCAGTCAAGACATATAAATGAAGTTTGCCTTGGATAGCAGGGACAATTTCATGATAAATGTTTCCAGAATAAAAAGGAAATACTTGATAAATAATCATTCATCCCTGCCTCTTCATCTGAGCTACTGAACCTGAATGTCTAG